TAAATGACTTTTAATTAATTTTGCTAGTAATCTGTATGTAATGTTATTGTTAGGTGCCACTGAGTTGTTTCTAACTCATAACAACCCTACGTACAGCAGAACAAACACTGCCTGGTCCTGTACTGTCCTCACAATCATTGCTATGTTTGAACTTGTTGTTGTAGCCACTGTGTCAGTCTATCTCGTTGAGGGCCTTCCTCTTTTTTGCTGACCCTCTACTTTACCAACCATGATGTTCTTCTTTAGGGACTGGTTCCATCAGATAACATATCCAAAGTATGTGAGACAAAGTCTCTCCAGCCTCACGTCTAAGGACCATTCTGACTACACTTCCTTCAAGACAGATTTGTTTGTTCTGACAATTGATGGCATATCCAATATTCTTCATCAACACCATAATTCAAATGCATCAATTCATCTGCCAAAAAAAACAATAATAATAATAACCCTCACTGCATCGAGTCAGTTTTGACTCATAGTGACCCCTCCTTGGGTTTCCTAAGTGTTATCTCTACAGAAGTAGATTGCCCAATTTTCCTTCCCAGGAGTGGCTGGTGGGTTTGAACCTCCAGGCTTCTGGTTAGGAGTCAAATGCCTTAGGCACTACACCAACAGAGTTCCTCAGTTCTTCTCTAGGCTTTGTTATATATTGCTCAGCTTTTGAATGCACATGAGGGAACTGAAACTACTTTGGCTTGGGTAATGTGCACCTTAGTCCTGAAAGTGACATCTTTGCTCTTTAACACTTTAAAGAGGGAATACGTTCTTACTAGTTAAAAGTCATGTGTTGGTTTGGGTGAAGCAAAAGGCAATATAACAAACATGTGTGACCAGCAAAATAACAATAGAGAAGGGGAGGACACAAAAATGTGCACAGAGATATTGACTACAGAGGCTAATACTAATGCATACACAATACTGCATTACCAGTGGCAGCAAACACTTATCTATGGGTAAATACTAGATGGCACATAACAACAACAACAAATACATAGAAAGCTGAGAAGATCAGGTATGAGCATGTGAACAGGAATATATCCATAACCATGGATAGATTTGGCTGGTGATATGCTTACATGTGTATTTGTGCTACAAAAATATCCATGTAGAAGTAACAGGGGAAAAGTTGAAGTAGATTCTTGGTGATGACCAAGCACCTTGAGGAAGAGTCACTGGGCCTGTGGGCTCAGGACCATCATCTCAGGGGCCATTAGGCTTAATTGGTACAACATCATACATAAAAATTTTGTTCTACATCCTACTTTGGTGAGTAGCGACGGGGTCTTAAAAGATTTTGAGCATCCATCTAAGATGCAACTATTTGTCTCCTCTCTTCTGGAGAAAAGAAGAGTGAGGAAAATCAAGTCATACAGAAATGAGGGTCTGATGGACCACAGAAAACTCAGCCTTCATTACTCTGAGACCAGAAAAACGAGATGGTGCCCATCTACCAAAACCAAAAACAACCACTTGGAAAGGGATCAAAATTGGAGATCCTGGATAGAGTGGCAGTGAGATTTTTTTTTTTTTTTTTTTTGATAGAGTGAGAGGGAAAATGAGGAACAAAATTCAAAAACACAAAAATGACCAGATTGGATAGAGGCCAGTAGCACCCCAAAGACTATGGCTCCAGGTTATCCTTCAAGCCTGGAAATGGAAGCATTTCTGTGGATTAGCTCTCCATCAAACATTAGAAAGACCTACAAGCAGAACACCTACCTTAAGGAGATGCACCCCTTGGATCTATCAACTATTAGACATCAGAAGGGCAGCATTTGCACAGAAGGAAGGCTGAGAAGACAGAGTAGCATAGATAAGAAGGACACAGGGAAGGGGTATTCATAAGAAGGAGATGGAGGAGAGCTTTTTATTGTTGGGATTGTAATAGGAGCAGTGAAACCTAATATGCAAGAACTGTTGAGAGTAAAAGAAATCTGCTTTATAAATTTGCACCCAAATCACAATAAAAATATTAAATAAAAAGGGAATACATTGTGTCTCATATACTATCTTATTATTTGAAATTATGTTTTCCCAGTTACCTCGATATCTGTGCATCTATTTTTATATTTGTCATTCTTTTCACTTTATATTATTTTCTAATTTTCTGTTATATTTCTATATTTTCTTACTGATCTGCAGGTGTTATTTATAAACTCTTGATAATATCTTGATTATATGTACAGTTTACCCTTTTATCTCAGTCTTTCTTATATTTATAGTGTTTATGACAGAACAAGAGTTTTATATTTATTGTAGTGATATTAATCCATTTGTCCCATTATAATTTACATTTTTATACTCTATTTTCTTATTTAACACCAAATTTTGATAGTGTTATCCTTTGTATTGGTCTAAATATTTGAAAATTTGCTGTTTATATTCGTCATTTAATCTGGAATTCATTTCTAAATATGGCATTAGATACGGATCAATGTTTATTTCCAATATAAACAAACCAATAAAAAAGCACTGCCATCAAGTCAATTCTGATTCACAGTGACCTTACAGGACAGAGAAAAACTGCTCCATAGTGTTTCCAAAGCTATAAATCTTTTCCATGGAGTGGTTTGTGGGTGCAAACTATTGATCTTTTGGTCAGTAGCCCAATGCTTTAACTGCAGCCCCATCATAGATTATTAATTTTCTTAGAATAAACCCATTGCCGTCGAGTTGGATCTGACTCATGGCAACCCCTCCTTGGGTTTCCGAAGCGGTATCATTATGAAAGTAGATTGCCTAACCTTCCTTCGAAGGAGTGGCTGGTGAGTTTGAACCACCAGCCTTCTGGTTAGCAGTCAAGTACCTTAGGCACTACGCCACCAGAGCTTCTTTTCTTAGAATAGTTATTTTCTAATGATTGTTGTTGTTGTTGTTATGTGCCATCTAGTCAGCCCGACTCATAGCGACCCCTCTTTGGGTTTCTGAGTCAGTATCACTACGGAAGTAGGATTGCCCCACCTTCCTTCTGAGGAGTGGCTGGTGGGTTTGAACCGCCAGCCTTCTGGTTAGCAGTCAAGTGCCTTAGACACTATGCTACCAGAGATAAACGGTGCTAAATCTGTCACAAACTCCCATATACAATAGCTTGAGCTGAGTTTCCCAGTCTGTTCTATTTAGTTATTTATTTATTTATTTTTTAAATTAATCTCTGCACCAACACAATTTAATGGCTTTGACATTTTAGTTTTCATCAGGGTATAATGCATATGGAAAATTGCACATGGTTTAGGTGTATAGATGTGTGCATTTTCACTAGCACTCTGATTCATTATATCAGCAATATTCTCAAATCCCAATTCTTGCTCACTTCCAGTCACTAACACCTTGCCTGATATACCACTCTCCTGACTTCTGAAAGAGGCGGTTACTTTTACCTGTTTTTAAACTTTATATAAATGGAACCATCATATAGCATGTTTTATAATGTATCTCAGTAATGCTAATCAACAATACATTTGTAGAATTCATTCAGTTGTTTCTTGTAGTTGTAGATAATTTTTTTTTCTATTTTTTAAAGTTCATTCTCTTTTAATTTCAAATTCATGTAAACTTGCAAATACATAGTGAATACAGTCCCACTTTCAACCATTATAACATTAGCCACTGCTTTCTTACCCCAATTGTCTTGAATATTTTCACTTCTTTTTTTCTACAAAGATATTCTACTCTATAACTTCATTACAGACATCAAAATGAGGAAGTCACTATTGAGACACTACCATCATCTAATTCAGGGAACTCATTCAAGTTGTTCCAGTTGTCCAATAATACCTGTAGAGCAAAATATCCAAGCCAACCTCACATGTTGCATTGAGTCATCATGTCTCTTTAGTCTCCTTCAATCTCGAGCAATTCCTCAGTCTTTTCTTGACTCTAACAAAATCATTGACATCCTTGAAGATTGTTGTTGTTAATTGCCATGGATTTGGCTCACAACTCATGGTGACCCCATGTGCTGGAATGAAATAATGCCTGGTCATGCACTATCCCTATAACTGGCTTCAGTTTGGATCGTGTGACCCATAGTGTATTCATTGGCTGATTTTCAGAAGTATATCGCAATATCTTTCTTCCTCTTTGAAGATAAAAACAAATAAGGTCTCCCTCCAAAAAACAAACAAAGAAAAAATTATTTACCATCAAGCCAATTCTAACTCATGACAACTCAGTGCGTGTCAGAGTGGAACTGTACTCCACAGGATTTCAATGGCTGTGATTGTTTGGAAGTCAACTGCTGGCTCTTTTTTCCAAAGTGCCTCTGAGTGGATTCAAATTGACAACCTTTCAGTGAATAGCCAACCTCTTCATCATCTGCACCACCCAGAGACTCCTCTTTGAAGATACAGGCATGTTATTTTATAAAATAAAAATTGAGTTTGTCTGTTATTTCTTCATGGCTCCAAAGTTTTCATATCATTTAATTTTTAAGTTAAAGTAACCTATTTCACTAGAAACTCAAGAGGAGTAAAGTTATTATCCCTGAGCCACTATATCCTTTGTAATCATGATAAATCACACTTTCATTGAAATTAAGTTAATTACATTTTTTTTATTTTCTGAGAAGCTTGTAAATGCATGTGCATTTCAGTTGTAAATACCTTCTCACATTCCAATCAGAAGTCCATGCTATCTTATGTTACTGAAATTAAACGTTGCTGAGAGAAGTTGTATTTGATGTATTTTAGTTTACTTCATGGTTGTCTACTAAAACTAAATTTCTGTGTATTGCTCTTTGTTTAAAGAAGGCAGAATCATTTGAAGTCTGTGAACCAAGTAACAGAATCAAATATAAGCCTCCATTTTGTCATAATGAATGCTTAAAATGTGCTAGGAAGGGTGATATACTACAAATGCTTATAGTTACAACTGATAATCAAAATTAGAGACTTACTCACTTTTGTACTTTGGAAATAAGTTATTCTTGTCAAAAAGTAAGGCCCTGAATCCTTTTCACAAGAAGTTTTGTTTTGTTTTGTCTTTCTTGAACTATTTTTCAGGTGTCACAGCTTTACTTTAGCCACACGGGGAAGGTGTGTTCCTCTCTGCCGCCTCACATTTTCTCCTGTGCAGAGAGAGCTTTACACCAGCTTTTCCAGGAGCAGCGACCTCAGTGTTTCATCCTCAGGTAGAATCCCCCCCCCACTGACTTCCCATCTTTGATGCTCAGTTATGCCCTCAAGGTTTGGCAGTTAAAGTGTCCTCATTTCTTATTGTGTTATCTTATTTACTTGCTCAGGAGTTTGAGGTTCAGTATATCTTGCAACAAATATATTTGACTGGTTACAAAAGTGAAACCTCTTTGTTATTAGAAATAGCCCCAAGTGTAGTTGAATCAATATCAACAAACTAAACCTCAAACTCATTTCATTTTGAAGATTTAAAAGTTTGAACCAGGGTGTTTTTGTGTTTAAACCTCAAAAAATATGAGAAAAGAAGAGGGTCTATGATTCATGAGTCAATATTACTATTCCCTGAAGTTCAGTACTGCCAGATACATCATTTTATTTACTTTGCGAATGTATGTATTTCTACTCTGCTTCCATGTCGTTTACTTTGGCTCATATTTCACCAAAATTATGCACCCAAAATATTTTTTCTTAATTTAAAATGATGGTAATTTTTGCTCAATATTATCAAGATGTTCAAGAGGATGTTTTACATGGGAGCACAAATTCTCTACATTAAAAAAAAAGTGTTGCCGAAAAAATAGAAGTGAAATATGACATGTTGTTGTTCTTATGTGCCATTGAGTGGGACCCAACTCATAGTGACCCCTCCTTGCATTTCCAAGGTGGTATCCCTACGGAAGTAGATCGCCCGACCTTCCTTCAGGGGAGTGAGTGGTTGCTGGGTTTGAACCACCAGTCTTCTGGTAAGCAGTGCCTTAGGCACTATGCTATCAGAGGTCCTGAAATATAACATAGTATGCTATCATGCTTGCTATAGGATTGAATAAATATTTTGGTATTGAAATAAGGCCTGCTTCAGATTAGCATATTTTGTATTATGTACAACTACAAGAGGAGATGTCTATAAACGGTCACAGACTTATCTTAGTTATTACTAGTAGTTTTGGTTGAAAACCAAACAAATAATTCAAATAGCACACACTTCAATTTGGAATGAAATTAAATTATTATTAAGATGGGAATTTAGAAAGAATCCAACAGACTTATTTAAACATTCAAGCACTTATTTACTTACATACCTATGCATACCTTTACATTATTGATTCAATAAAATGTTTTGTGGAGTGTCATATTGATGAATTGCAAATTTCAGCGTTCTTGTTTTCAAAATACCCTGCAAGCAGTTGTTTAAATAGTTGTGCTCTGAAGGGTCCCAGGAAAGAGGGAAGAGCTGAAAGGTGGCTCCTTACCCAGGCTTGAATCAGACAACTCCATTTTTTCTGTTTTATCTGTCAGGTTTTCTGGTCTTACTTTGATAAAAAGAGACATTTGAAAAATTGCCTTGTAAATTGGTGAGATTTAGAGAAACACAATAATAATGACAATTATAATAACAAATATTATTAAGTAAAGTCTTTCTATGTGCCACATCCTCAGCTCAAATAATATATACATTATTTCATTTATTTCCTTGGCAGCCTTATACAATAGGCATCAGTATTATTATCATCATAAACCAAAACCAAACTCACTTCCAAGGAGTCAGCCCAACTCTTAGCGACCCCTCCTTGGTTTCCAAGGCAGTATCACTACAGAAGTAGATTGCCCAACCTTCCTTCCGAGGAGTGGCTGGTGGGTTTGAACTGCCAGCCTTTTGGTGAGCAGTCAAATGCCTCAAGCACTATGCCACCAGAGCTCCTATTATCATCATAGTCACCACCATTTTCCATATCTGGTGACTGAGTAGAGTTGTGGTTATTAGAAGCCCGTTGAGTTGATTCTGACCCATGGCAACCTCACGTAAAAACTGTTCCATATAGGGTTTCCTAGGCTATAATCTTCACCAGGGGAGCTCTGGTGGCTTAGTGCCCTGCAAGCATTTTCTTATAACTTCCTCTTGAAAACCAAAAACCAACTGCCATCAAGTCAATTCCTACTCATAGCAACTCTACAGGACATAGTAGAACTACCCCGTAGGGTTTCCAAGACTGTAAATCTTTACAGAAGCAGGCTGTTTCATCTTTCTCCATTTTCTCTTGTGGAGCGACTGGTGGGTTAGAACAACCAACTTTTTGGTTAGCAGCCAAATGCTTTAATCACTATGCCACCAGAGCTTGTACTTTCTCCCAGGAAGATACAATGTTCCATATACACTGACGGTTTAAGTGCAAGTTTATTGGAACTTGAATTCATAGTAAATTGGAGACTACTTGTATATTAAACTTTGTAAATTTATAAGTCAATTAAATAAATGTTCAAATATCATTTTGAGTATCTATTGTGTCCTAAAACTAGCATTAGCAAAATATTTGGGGATCAAATATTTCTGGTATGAGTATCCTATAAATTTATACCAGGCCAGAAATTTAAATTTTTATTTCCAAAGTCCCTCAAATAATTCCTTACATTTTGTTGATAATTTTAGTTCCCAGTAACACAGAAGACTTCATGTTCAGAAATAGTTTTTAATAATTTTCAGATAATTTTCCTGGGCCATAACTGAGAATTTGGAATCCACCATCATCTAACCTACTTTTTAATTTCTTGAATGCCTTGATAGATTGTTTTAATGAATTGTTTGACCATATCAACTGAATGGCATTGGCTATGGTTTTTGGTATGTGGCAAATATTTGTAATTTCTAAAGTACAGTTATACTATCAAATACAGTAAGTAGTTTATGAAATTAGCAATATAAAGTCTCCTTTGTCACGTACATATTTTCTAGACAAAACTGTTCAAATAAGTTACAGAAATCTTATAGGTCCATGATGGCACAACCCAAAGTCCATGATTAATGTCTAATTTGAGATTATGTCTAATTTCAAATAAGAAATATTTCTGTACAAATAGAACTAAAATTTTTAGTTTTAATATGGTCATCCAATAGAACTTATCATTCTCCATTTTTCTTTTTCTTTTTTTATTTCCTTTCAATGCACTCAATGTTGAAATGAAATGTGGTCATTCTAAGATTTTATAAAGTGGTTAAAATTTATGTGATTTTAGCTAACTAAAGGAGTTGATCATTTCTTCTAACCCTACATCTAATAATGTTGTGAGTGCAATGGTAGGGAGAAGAGAGAGAAATTCATATAACCACTAGGGTAGCTCGACACTCTCGCATGCGTCTCTCTTTGTATTTACAGAGACCATGTCTGCCTAATTCATTACAATGTCCACTCTGCATGTTCTCTGTAAATATCTGATGAAAATTTAATGTTGGAAACATGCTACCTTCTGTGCTTCCCCATCTCTAAGAATCAACTCAACTCTCATCTTTTCCTGAAGCCTGTCCTGACTCCATATAAGAGGTGGAGCTGCTTGTTTATCTGGACAACTACTGCTCTCTATGACACTTCCATTGTAATTACATATTAATTATGTATTTAACCAAAAGTTATAATGCTGCTTTGAGTCTTTACTTGACAGTGTCCTCAGTAGATGGAAAACTCCTCAAGGGAGCAATATCTTTTTACCTCCTTAACCCTAAAACTTAACACAGATTCTAGCACATAGTAGACCCTCAGTTAGTTACATTTGAAAGGATGAGCAATTTTAAGGAAGGAAAATGATATTTTGAACATAGATGTCTGTGTTAATATAAGCAAGGTCTCTACAAAAACAACTGACTCTATAAAATCAATGCATATTAATGATTACATTATTTCTTGGGTAATAGAACTTTTTATAAAAATGAATATAATTTTTGAAATTAAATATGCTCTATGAAATTAGAAGGTTAAAATAAAAGGTCCTTGTACTCAGAAAAGAGCTACTTATCTTGGGCAGATCATCCTAACCTGTTCTCCTCTTGCAGTGTGTAGAGTTGCTTTTTATAAGTAGTTTAATGTTTGAGAGCAGCAGACATGAGGGGAGGAGAAGTACTCATTAACATCTGGAGATCTGAATTAAAAAAATGATTTAATTAAATAATAATTAGTCTTTTTCCTGAATAAATGCCTTAAACAAATTCATGGAACAATTGTTCCAAGGACAGAAACCTAAGAAAATATTAGTAAAAAGCTTTATTTGTTTATCTTTCCATTTATTGCTTTTTTCCTAAAAGATAAATGGATTGTATTTATGAATTATTCATCTGGATGAAGTAATAATTCTATTTTACTTTAGACCTCTTTGATATAGTGCTCATTGCATTGGAATTTGATACTCACCTCATATTGTTCGGTGTCAGGTTTACAACACAGTTATTATTTATAGAAGTCAAATAAGTGAATGAAATATGCCTGGGATATATGAAAAGTTGTTATAAATGGCAACTTTAGTTGGCAATTGTTCCTAGTTTAAAGGAATATACAACTTATAGAATGTCTGAAAGTAGCCTAAATAGGCAAACAGATCCATGTTAGGCAATCTCCTTCCACAGTGAAATGGCCTCGGAAACCCAAGGAGGGGTCGCTATGAGTTGGGTCCGACTTGACAGCACATAACAACAACGAGTGTCAAGCACTTCACTCATATAGTCTCATGTGACAATAGTGATGAATGAGTTTTAGTAGCTTTGCACCTTAGGTTGCTTCCACCTAAACACTTTACTGTATAACGCTGTCACTTGTTTGATCACCTCACTCACTTACTATCAAGAACTTGAGGATAACTTGATACCTTTCTATTCAGTCCAAAATCATTCTGCAATGACTCACTCACATTATGTAGTTCTCCCTGTGAAATATTTTATGGCAGAAAGTGCATCATATATCATATTCATTTGTTGTCCCAGCATCTAAAACACTGAATGGCACATGATGTAGTATGTATATATATATATATATAGTTGTTGTTGTTGTTGTTTATTTATTTTAAATGAATAAAACAAATCTAGAAGTGGAATTATAGTCATTAATAGTTGTGTTATCTCTGTGTCTGAGAATTATCCCTGGTAAGTTCTTATTTTATTATCTCTTCCACATCAGTAAACTTGTATTTTCCCATCTGTTTTCTGTTAGTGGTGAGAGAGGATCTGGAAAGTCTGAAGCCAGCAAACAAATAATAAGACACCTAACTTGTAGATCTGGATCCAGGAGGAGTATATTGGATTCCAAATTTAAACAGGTAAATTTATTGTTTGGGTTGAAAAAAATTGTGAATTAAAATATTGAGCCAAGAAAAATCTTATTTATACATAGAGAGGAGATCATAGTAACCACAAATTGTGATCAAAAAAGGTTGAGGCCTGGTACAAATTGACATTGTTCAAGTGAAATTTTATTTTCTTAAAACTTATTTTGAACATACTCTTTTTATATTTGCTCAGAATAGTTGAATCAGAAATATATAATATAGTTAGAGATTAACATAGAAGGTTGACACATTTTGGGGCAATTGAGCTTGATAACCAATTCTTCTGGGGGTTTATTGAGAGTTGATAATTTCATTCCAATGCATTTAAAATAATTGACAATACTTAATGATATTGATGGGCAGGTAATAATACCTTCAACACCAAAACTGATTTTAAATTATATTAACACTTGATTCTATTGGAGATGTCTTATTCTGCTACTTAACCTGGCTAAAAAATAGCCAAAAATGAAGAAAGAAGCAAGAATGCCTATTAACATCTAAGATAATGACCAGAAATTTCATGAAATAAAACTCACAAATTTAATTCAAGGAGATACCCATAGGTGCTTGTCCATAGACAGATACTCTTGTTTCCACACAGCTCTGGAAAGGTTTTTTTTCTTTTTTTTAAATAGGTTTTTAAAAGCACAGCTGATTATAAGAAGAAACTAAAAGGAAGTAATGAGCTTTCTGCAATTGATCAAGAAGTAATGCCCAATAGTGAACTGGACAGGAAAACAATTGATTAGAGATAAACAAAAAAGTGATCAGAACTTAAAAGTCTGTTGTTCAGGGGCCTTTTCTTCCAAAGCTAACCCTCCACATTTCAGTATTTCCTTAGGAAACAACTACAGAGTAATTGAAGTTCATGGTGATTGTTGCAAACTTTAAATGAAATGAAATTAAATATGTGTGCCCTGTTAAGTTAGAGAACTGGGAAGTTCAAACACTCTGCCTCACTTATGCTCAATGGCCTCATGGATTCAGTTCATCTGTGCACTATTAGTTTCAGTCCTTTCTTTCTTAAGATGTAGACCTACCTAGCTAACAGTCTACCTGGATATCCTACAATGTGCTTGCTTCAATCACATCAAAATTTACTTTATATATCCCTTCTCCACAATATCCTCTACCCGTTTTCCAAACAAAGAGGCTACACTCATGGCAGTGGAGACAAATCCAATTTATAGTGACCTTATAAGACAGAGTTAACTTCCCCATTGGGTTTCTAAGGCTGTAATCTTTATAAGATAGGAGATCTGGTAGCATAGTGGCTAAGGCACTTGACTGCTAACCAGAAGGCTGGCCATTCAAACCCACCAGCCACTCTCGAAAGGAAGATGGGGCAAGCTACTTCTGTAGTGATACTGCTTCGGAAACCCAAGGAGGGGTTGCTATGAGTTGGGTCTGACTCCATGGCACATAACAACAACAACAATCTTTATAGAAGCAGACTGCCACATCTTTCTTCCATGGAACTGCTGGTATGTTTGAACCACCGACCTTTCCATTAGCAGCCAAGTGCTTAATCACTGCACTAACAGGGCCCCTTCCTCCTATATTTCTCAGTATAATAAATTGCACCATCATTTCCTCATTTCCACAAGCCACATACTTAGAAATCTTTGACTCTATACTCTCATTCTATCTCAAACACAATCACAGTATCTTGTCATGTCTATCACCTTAGTCCATCTAGTTTTCCTCAGGCATACTGTCATCACTTTTGTTGAGATTATCATCTTCTGTCATTAGGAGATCTTCCAGCATTTCCCAATGTGTTTGCTTTCTTCCCTCATTCTTTACTATCTTTGAATGTATCTACTTCTGGCCAATCTTGACTGACAGGGCAGCTGTGCTCCACAGGATCATTGAAGGTTCAGGATCTTTTCTATTTCTATCTTGTTGTTCTTTTATCCCCTTGGGCACTTTGTTCACATACTTGGGCTTCAGGCTTTGGCAGTCTTATTTACAGGAAGGAAAAAGAAAGCACTAGTCTAAAGAAAGGACTTATCTTGTAAGTTGGAGATAACTAAGAAATTGGACATATCACTTGCACTTACAGTTATAGGCTTTAACTTTGTAATACAGTTAAGGAACTGGAAAATATGATCTCTAGGTATGCAGCCATGTGCTCATCTTGAACTATGAAGCTGAATAATGGAGAAAATTATTTTGGTGGAATATTAGCAGCCCACATCACAACTTCCTTGTTTAAAACTCTTAAACAACTCATTGTTCCCTTTGGATGGCCCAGACTCCTCAGCATGGGCAATGTTTCTTGTTATAGTATTATTTCCTTCTTTCTTGTTGTTGTCAGGGGCCATCAAGTCAGCTCTGACTCAGAGTGACCCTGTGTTCAACAGAACAAACCCCTGCCCGGTCGTGTACCATCCTCACAATCTTTGCTGTGCTTGAGCAGACTGTTGCAACCACTCTGTCGGTCCATCTTATTGAGGTTCTTACCCTTTCTTGCTGCCCTCTACTTTACCTAGCAAGATATCCTTCCCCAGGGAATGGCCTTTTCTAACAGCATCACCAAAGGACATGAGACAAAGTCTGGCCATTCTCACTTCCAAGGAGCATTGCAGCTGTATTTCCTTCAAAACAGATTTGTTTGTTCTTCTGTCAGTCCATGGTATTTTCAGTATTCTTCATCAACCCCACAATTCAAATGCATCAATTCTTCTTCAGTCTTCCTTATTCATTGTCCAGCTTTCACATGTATATGAGGAGATTTATAATACCATAGGCTGGGGCAGGCGCAAATGGATATCTTTGCTTTTTAACACTTTGGAAAGTTCTTTTGAAGCAGATTTGCCCAATGCAATATGTCCTCTGATTTCTTAACTGCTGCTTCAAGGAGTATTGACTGTGGATTCAAGTAAAACGATATCCTTGACAACTTCCATTTTTTCTCCATTCATCGTGATGTTGTTTATTGGTTCAGTTGTAAGGATTTTTGTTTTCTTTATGCGGAGGTGTAATCCATATTGAAGGCTGTAGTCTTTGATCTTCATTAGCAAGTGCTGCAAGTCATCACTTTCAGCAAGCAAATTTGTGTTATCTTCATATTGCCTGTTGTTAATGAGTCCTCTTCCAATCCTGATGTTGCATTCTTGTTCATATAATCTGGCTTCTTGGATTATTTGTTTAGCATGCAGATTGAATAAGTATGGTAAAAAGCTACAACCCTGATTTTACACACTCTTCCTGATTTTAAACTTTTCGGTATCCCCTTATGCTCTTGAAATGACCAATTATTGATCTACGTACAGGTTCCTCATGAGCACTATTATATGTTCTGGAATTCCTATTCTGTGTTATCCATAATTTGTTAGGATTCACGCAGTTGAATGTCTTTGCATAGTCAATAAAGCACAGGTAAACATCTCTTTGGTATTCTTTGCTTTCAGTCAAATTCCTTATGACATCAGTAATGCTATCCTTCGACCCAGGAGCTGTTCTTCATTGGGCTGAATTTCTGGCAGTTCCCTGTAAACATACTGCAACAAGCATTTTTGAATTAACAAAATTTTGCTTGTGTGTGAGATTAATGATATGGTTTGATAATTTCTTCATTCTGTTGGATCGCCTTTGTTTGGAATGGGGACAAAGTTTTTACCCTGTTCTTTTATTCTTTGGTGAAGCAACTCCTGACATACATCCCTCCCTAACTGGTTGTGCTTCCTCATTCATCTGTTCATTTGTTCCACAATTATCTCTTGATTTAGAGATAATCTTTCAGTTTCTTTGTGCCTGCCACATGCTAGGAAACCTGTTCATATATGGTGAATGAATGATTATATGAATAAAACATTTAACAGTATTTAACATACCTAGAAAATGTTTCATTATCCAAACAAGTTACTGAAATTAACTTCTATTCCTCTTAAATGAATTTAAATAGATAAACATTTATATGTAATCTGGATCCTGTAAATTTCTTTATGAGTGAGTGTGTGTGTGTGTGTGTGTGTGTTATATTATACAGAGGATAGGCCATGCGGTACTAGTAAAGTAAAAAGCTCTCTATTGGCATCTATTTCAAAGTGTGGTATTGTCAATAAAATGATTCAGTCTCAGATTTACACTGCTATTCCTCTAGAATCTCCCTGATATGTGACTCACTATACACACATTTACAGAAAGACATCTGCATTTCATTCAGATGAATTATCTTATATTTAAGTGGAAGCACAGCCAGTTAGCTTTGGCTTTGGAAAATTCTGGAAATTTATACTATCTGTTTTCTCATTTAGAAATGAGATGAATTTTTGTATAACTAAAAAATTGGTATTCCTCATAATGTCTACTTTGAATTAGAAATCCTTAAACTTTTAAATCTGCTATAAGAGGATTCCCAAGTTTAGGTCTGATTTAGGATATATATACATATATATAAATATATATATTTATTTATATTTATATTTATATTTAGAATGTATACTAAATCATTCTTCAATGCATCTATGGCATGGCATGTGTTCATTAATAGCTTTAATTTATAACCATTTACTAAGTGACCATGTGCTAAGCACCTGCATAATTCTATGACACAGCTCAAAGTAATTAAAAATTTGGAGTCAACTTGGAAAGAACAGCTTAAAGTATTCTTTTTATTTAAATACTTTAATGTATCAACTACTGACTTAATGTTCTACACTTAAGGAGCAGGACATTTATGCAACAACATAGTTTTAAAATAGACTCCCATTAACTAATAGACCTAACAGGATTCATTAACTTAATTGAAATGGCAAGGAGCTATAGTCTGCCCTCTAAATTACAGACAGAAACAGGCATTTATTAAAATGACCATTTGAAAGACCGCATAATTTCTAAAATGAATTCTAGATTGCTGTATGTAAATTAGCTTTCCATGTCAGCCTAAGTGAAGGTATTCTAAGTTGCATTTCTTTTGATAAGACAGACAGAAGTTTTAAATCAATTAGTCTCTGGGATTCAATACTATCATATGCAATGTA